TAATTCAGCAGTTTTTACACTTGAGGCAGAATCTAATTCAGTAGTCATTATTTATAAAAACTTTGGGAATAAGAACTATATAAAACTTTGATGTCAAAAAACAATGAAATTATCAAAGCCCATGAAAGAATCCTTGCACAGTTGTTAAAGCAATTCCTAATCATAAGAAAGAATGATAAATTAGTCTTAAAATTAAATTTTGAAATATTCCAGAATAAAAGGGATATATTATTTAAACAACATACATAATAAAGGACAAATATCTTTGTATCAAACATTTTCTGGTTTTGCAATTCATGATAGATATTTCTCTTCAATAGAAGTATTTTTTTTAAATAGTTAATAAACTATATATTGTTTTCAGAGAATTAAAATATCATTGGAGAACTGGAAAACAGCTGTATTGTGGTAGAGACAAATATTACATACATCATACAATGTCAATATACAAATGACTGAACGTTGCCAGTCATATTTTTTAAAGTCTTTCAAATATTTGGTTTTTGCCTTTTGGGGTATTTTTCTTCTATAAGAAAAATCAAATAGAAGAGATATTCATTGATTGTGACCCCAAGGATTGACCTACTTTTTTTTTTCTTTACCCCATGCCATCTTCAGTATTCACTTCCTTCAGTTTAGAGCAGCATTCATTGACAATCCTATCTACTTAAGGCAGTTGCTAAAATATCCAATTCAACTCTAAAAGAGGTGCCCCCGATCCTCATAGTTTAAGAATGCATACATAACTGATGAAAGAAGTGCTACATAAAAATATGCAAATTAGTTTCTTCTCCTGGTGAGTAGACAGTCCATTTGCATGTTCACTGTCTCTTTAGGACAGCTTTGTAACAATAAAGGGCTGTATCCCTTCAGAAAAATCTTGTTACAGGTCTCTGTTGACTTCATACTGGCACATACATGCAGCTCGCTGACTGTCAAGATATGGCTTGCATCCGAGATGTATGAGTGCATCAAACACTAGTTGTACTGTAGATTCACAAGCTGCAAGATAGGGGAAAAGAAAAGCTGTCATTATCTGGAGGAGAAAAGATAAATAAACTATAGTAGAATCATAGCTTTGGGCAATGAGTGACTCAAATTACAATTAATGCTATGTTCTTTACCAAACTGAAGTTGCAGGAATTAATCTACCAATAAGACTTAGAATTAGAACTGGCAGTGTTTACAAGACATGCAGAATAGTGATGCAAACAGCTAATTTCCCTTATTTCCCTATCAGAAATATTTCTACATTAATCAACAAACATAAACGGTAGGTATTAAATATCAATTGAAAAAAGTGACTTATGGCCATTTTTCACACTTATGTCCATTGTAACATCCCCAGAGTCACGTGATCAAAATTTGGGTGCTTGGCAGCGGGTTCATGGTTATGAAGGTTGCAGTATTCTAGGGTCATGTGAACACCTTTTGCATCCTTGTGACAAGCAAAGTCAATGGGAAAATCAGATTCATTTTACAACTGCAGTGATTCACAGAGCAACTGTGGCAAGAAAGATTGTAAAATGGGACAAAATTCACTTAACAAATGTCTCAGCAAGAGAAATTTTGGGCTCAATTGTGGCTGAAAGTCGAGAACTACCTGTATAGTTTAATTACTCCTACAGTACCAATAAATTATAATCACAAATATGTTTGTGAAACTACACTATGATTTTTTAACTAGCAAAACTTGGACATTTTCTTCTCTCCGTAATTTTTAGTCTTAAATCCCCATCCTCTTCCTTGCAGAACATTTTTAAATCCACAGTTTATGTAAAGGAAATAAAGAGAAAAAAATTAGACGGAGAAACAGTTAGCTTTTAGCCTATAAGTAATTTAACTTAATCCTGAAAACTAAGTGGATGGTTTAAGAGTTTTAAATAAAACTTAATGGGTGATTCTGTTATATTCTTTATTCAAACATGATTTCCTTTAAATAACTGAACATAAGTACATACCTATCCCTCTGAACATATACAGAAGAACCAAGTCATAGATAATGCAATCACATTAACCTGATCTTCTGGTTTAAATTTCTGTTTAGTTGGGCTCAGATTATATAATCTTGGTAAATCTCTGTCACACCATATTTCTCAAGAATGGCTCACCTTGCACAGACTCAGGTATTCCTAATGTCTTCTGCACATCTCTACAGATCTTTGAAAGGCAATATTGAAACTGCTCATCACAATCATGCTTTTTGCTACCACAAGTGTCATAACATCTGTCATGTTGATTGCAGCATTTTGTCATTGAAGGAATGCCAATGTCAAACTGAAAAACAAGTTCTAGCAATTATTTAAAGCCCATAAAGTTAAGAAATTTTCTCTTCTGAAGGAACTCTAAGAGTGGATGAAAGGTGATGGGAATGCCGCAATATGCATTGATGAACATCCATTCTCCATTTCCCCAGTTCCTTCCCTCCCACTCTGCCATTGCTGAAGTCCCAGAATGGCATATTCCCATTTCCGCAGTCACCTCTCAATCTTCCCATTGCCTTCCCTCCCTCACTTCAGCTGCTAATACCTTTGACTTTTCCTGAACCCCCAACCGCCACGTCTATTTAGAAAAAAATAAATTAATTTTGTTCTGTGCACAGGCCTAAACATCCAAAATGTGTGTTTGGACCAAGTCCCCCCATGGGTTCTATGAAAGGATCAGTTCATACATGGGGTATTCTGAACATCTGTTAGCAACTTACATGAACTCCAAAGAGTGGAGAACCACATCCATTGGGTGGTGAAGGTTTATAGCCATAGCGAGATAAAGGTTTGTATCCTGTAAAACGTTAAGTTTAGAATATGTAAAATGCTTCTGATTTTTCCAGACTCACTCAAGACAAGCTAATAATTTATTAATCTATTGTTATAGATATATGAACATTTATTCATTAGTTATATATCACAACCTTCGAGTACTTAAGGTATTATACATAGCACTTTCTCCTCCAAACTTTTTCTCTTAACAATGACATGGTGAAGTACTTGGGATGAAATGAAATTCATCCCCTGAATTTCCACCGAGTCTGGATTTGATCCGAAGTCACTAGTTCCACATCCATACCACTTTTTCATCTATTGTCTCAATTGTCTGAATTTAGCAAGATTATTGCTTATTATATAAAATTGCTTATTATATAAAAATGATAAGCTAAACAACTTAATCTCACAGTACTGTACACATCTATTCAGAAATCATACCCTTTCAATTGGATGAGCTTACCAAATGAATGAATATAAACTGCAAAGCATTTCTCAAATTGTGACCAATTGGATCACTAATGTCCTTGGAGTTATCTTCTGTTAATTGTTTTGAAGTGTTGTATTGGATATCCATTATGAAATTAAAATGCCAGTAAGGNAGCAAAATTACAGTTATGAAATAGCAATGAAAATAATTTTATGGTTGGGGGTCACCACAACATGGTGGCCACGCCCACTTGGTGGCCACGCCCACTTGTCAGCCACACCCACTTGGCCACGCCCCTGGCACCCGGGGTCACCACAACATGGGGAACTGTATTATGGGGTCACGGCATTAAAAAGGTTGAGAACCACTGTTATAGGCTGACCAATCTCACGGTTTGCTATGGAACTAAAGGAGAGAGGCTAAAATTGAGCGATAAAGTAATTATCTGTACATTTTGATACTTTTAGTAATAACCATCAAAAGCTACATGTAGCTTTGGACAGACACAAATGCACTCACTGAACTATTACTATGGAATATGCAAATTACCAGTTGAAAGTGAAGATGGTCTTTTGAGTGGTTATTCACTTTTTGCTGAACTTTCTTTTAGCAAAAAAGGCTTCTTTGCTTTTAACTCCCTCACTACGCATTTTTTAAACCACCTAAAGTCATGACTGACTAGGGCAGCTTTTAGATTTCCCAAATAAATAAATACAATTTTAAAATCCACATGTGTATAGTACTAGGAAAAATGGTAGAGTGACAGCTCAAGTTATTCCTTCTTCTCATCCTCTAATGGCTCATATATATTTCAATTAATATGATTTTCCCCTTTTATTTTTAAATGCATCTTAGGGTATTTTATACATACCACTTCACTATCTTATTGCTCCAATTATAGCAGAACAAAGAAAAAAAGAAGCATTCTTTTCTGGAAGAATAAAAAAAAATGTGATCTAGATAAGTCTTGACAAGTACTTTTTAATTGCCAGTGTTCACTTTAAGATCAATTTTAGATTTTAGATGTTCACTATTATATGCTGTAATCTTATACTGTTTTACCAGAGTAAATTACTTTAGATAAGTAACAGGCTATAACTTCAGATTCAAAGAACCCTTTCATGACTCTTCTGGTGCAGTAATGTATAATGTAAGTGAACTTGCAGTGTGCCTAATCAATGGAGGACAGCTTCCGATCCTCCTTTTTTCAGTACACAAATGCTCAGTAACAGCAGGCTGGATTTTTTGTATAGCACAAAGGAATCATCAAACTTCTTTCACAAAGTCTTAGGTAGTTATCAAGAAACTGGATACTATCTAAAGGCTAACAAATACAAAATGGCGGAAGATAATAAAATAAAAAGCTCATCAAGTGAATCCTGTAAGTTCTTCTTCTAGTAGTTGTTTTCTTAAATTTTGTTGATGGAAAAAATACATGACATATATTCAATTTAGCATGTTTAATTTTTTCCCTTTCTAAACAGATAATTTTATTTCACACCTATTCACTTTTAAAATGTCCATTTCATTAATAAAGGCACTAGAAGAAAATGCATCAAAGACTGTTTTTCAAATAATTCAGCAGTTTTTACACTTGAGGCAGAATCTAATTCAGTAGTCATTATTTATAAAAACTTTGGGAATAAGAACTATATAAAACTTTGATGTCAAAAAACAATGAAATTATCAAAGCCCATGAAAGAATCCTTGCACAGTTGTTAAAGCAATTCCTAATCATAAGAAAGAATGATAAATTAGTCTTAAAATTAAATT